GATGCTTAACTAACTGAGCCACACACACACACACCCACTTTACCCATTTTATTTATTTTTTAAGATTTTATTTATATATTTGTCAAAGAGAAAGAAAGAGCAAGCACAGGCAGACAAAGTGGCAGGCAGAGACAGAGGGAGAAGCAGGCTCCATGCTGAACAAGGAGCCCAATGTGGGACTCGATCCCAGGACGCTGGGATCATGACCTGAGCCAAAGACAGCCACTCAATCAACTGACCCACCCAGGCATCTCACTTTAACCATTTTAAAATGTACAATCTAATGGCATTAAGTACATTCGCATTGTAGTGTAACCATCACTATTATCCATCTCCAAAACTTTTCATCATCCCAAGCTAAAACTCTATACCCATTAAACAAAAACTGCCTCTTACTCTCTTCCCCCAGCCCCTGAGATCCATTATTCTATTTGCTGTCTCCATGAATCTAAGTCTTTTTAGGTACTTCATATACGTACAATCATACAATATTTTTCTTCTGCATCTGGTTTATTTCACTTAGCATAATGTTGTCAAGGTTTATCCACATTGGGGTAAACTGGGTTTTAAAGGAGGATTTATTTTGGCACACAACGTGCACTATTCAAAACTGACTTCAGGCAGCTGCTGGTTTTAGGACTATGAAGAGTTGTTCCTGCCTGAGAGATTACAAATTTCCTGCTGCAAACTTCCAAATGTAAAGAGTGGCCCAGGGAAAAGCAAATGGAAATGTCATGTCACTGTCATATGTTATGTTGTTCTGAATTAATTTCAAATCTGAAAAATGAAATACTGATTCATTTCTCCAAAAAACATTTTTGTATGTTCTTTACACCTCTCAAAAACCTAACTCCTGAGATGGTTGATTTCCCCAGAGACTGCCTAAGGAATTTGAAGAATCTTCTCCTCTCTTACAGAAGAATTTGTTCATGCTCAGAATAGAGAAAAGGTTAGGAAGAAAGCCAGAAAAAGCAGAAAACATATAAGCTGTTTCTTCTAACTTGACTGAAGAGCCACAGTTGGAGCAATAATGACCCAGTGCATCTCTCCTTTCTGGAAGGATTAGCTGGTTGGCACCATAGGGTCTTTTTACCCTGCAAAGGAAGCTCCCCTTCATTTACATGGACGGCCCCCAGGATATTGCCACAGAGCAGAAGTCCTCTGAGCACCTAAAGATAGGAAGGGTAAGAAGGAGAGGTAAGAAGAGCCACAGGATGAAGATTTAAGCACAAAACAGAGGAGTAAAAGGGAATAGGAGCCGGTTTCCTGATTGGACCTAAATATTCAGAATATTTTAAATGTTTGCTTAAGGCTAGGCTGGGGGTGGACAAAATAGACAATAGCCACTTGACTAGTTTACAAACCAAATTAAAAAATACAATAGCTCTGAAGAACAAATGAAAAAAATAAGATGAGTTGTATAGTTTTTAAAGAATAATGCTTACACCTAGAGAGCATCTTTTGTTCTTCAAACTCAGAGTGCATGGGTTTACTTTCTTACCAATGCATTGATATTTATGGTACTTATGGATATTCCAGGTACTGAAATACGATTGATTTAGGAATTTTGTTTGTCTTGCAAGTGTCCAAGTAAGCACATGGGCACCCATGCATGCGTGTGCGCTCACACACAGATACACAGAAACACACTTTCTCTATATATATGTATATAAATATGAAAAATATAAACAAGCAGCCTTAGACTCAATATTTGTTAGCTGAGAAAAGTGCGTTTTTTAGAGATTGTATTTATTTATTTGACAGAGAGAGATCACAAGTAGGCAGAGAGAGAGAGAGGAAGAAACAGGCTCCCCACCAAGTATAGAGCCTGATGTGGGACTCGATCCCAGGACACAAATCATGACCCGAGCTGAAGGCAGAGGCTTAACCCACTGAGCCACCCAGGCGCCTATCTGAGAAAGGTTTTAATCTACCCTTAGGTGAAACTTAAAAACAAAGACTCAAGAGAATGCCACTAAAGCACCAACCACACAAATGCAAACAAAGAATTTCAACCAAATGTTAGCCTATTATTCTGTACCACAAACACCTTGTACTACTTGCATAATGGCCCAAATGCCAGATTTCTCCACTATTTTACCTAATTTTGTACACAGTCCTTAGTGGAGTAGAAGACAAAGGACACTAAGAAGTTGCTAACAAAAGGACTTCCTTCTTGGTCTCCTACAGCCACTAGGATGAAAAAGTAACAAGTTTTTCCCAAGTGATGAAAATAGTTTAAAGAGAGGGGAAAAGTAGACTGCAGGTTTAAACCTGGTCATGACCTTGGTTTTGAACCTTGTTTAAAAATTCCATCAGGCCTCCTAGTGATTTGTGAGCCCCTGGCATTTCTGGTAGGTGTTAGGGTACTGGATGGAGGGTTGGCTCCAGTCTTAGAAAACCACATTTCCATTTTGATTTCGTAGCAGTTAATATACAATCACATGTATGTTTTACACACATGCACCTTTTTTTCATTTCAAAATGAAATGGTTTGATACCTTTCAAGCACAGACAGAGAGAGCATCAGGGGCAGTGGGTGGTGGCCATTTAGTGGCATTCACCAAGTCGGTTTCCTAGTTGGCTTATCTCATAATTGACCATTGCTAACAATCAGGATGGTTTTTAACCATTTGACAGTTTTCTATTACTTTTATTCTTCTTCATATTATTGTTTAACTCACACGTTTTATATCTGTTGCTTTAAAGACAAGGGGAAGAAATGGATTTTAAAATACAAGCTAATGAGGAGATTTAATTCTAAAAATTCCCCTCAAGATACCATTTGCCAGGTTCTTAAGTCATATTTGTCTGATCAGAATTCTTGTAGCACATATCAAGATGTCTCTAATACATGAAAAATAATTTAAAAGTAAATATGGTGGCCACTGTATCCAAACTGACTTTTTAAAAATTGTCAATAATGTCTTACCTTTTATTTACATTTGTGCAAAATTCTAAAAATAAGCCAGAGGGTTATTTTAAATGCAAACCAAATATGAGGTCATGAAAACAGTTTTTTATATTTTTTTTGATTGGAAAAGATACAATGATATTTCAATGTTCATTTTTTCTCTTTTTTAAAAGATTTTATTTATTTGAGAGAGGGCAAGAGAGCACTCATCATGAGTTGTGGGGAGAGGCAGAGGAAGAGGGAGAAATAGGCCCCCTGCTGAGCAGGAAACCCAAAGTGGGGGCTCAATTCCAGGACCCTGGGATCATGACCTGAGTCAAAGGCAGGAGTTTAACTGACTGAGCCACCCAGGTGCCCCACAATTTTCTTTTTAATATGAATTCTATCCTCAAACCAGACACACGTAAAAATTACTCTTAAACTTGTTTACCAAGAAATCTGCTTTCTCCTCCACAAGCAATTTAAAGCGAGTTATAGGGGCGCCTGGGTGGCTCAGTCATTAAGCGATCCCAGGGTCCTGGGATCGAACCCCGTGTCGGGCTCCCTGCTCTGTGGAAAGCCTGCTTCTCCCTCTCCCACTCTCCCTGCTTGTGTTCCCTCTCTCGCTATCTCTGTCTCTGTCAAATAAATAAATAAAATCTTTTAAAAAATAATAAACTGAATTATATAGCCTGTGTCTGTAACCCAAAGGAAAAAAATGAAAAGTTATCATATGCAATAAATGCATATGAATAATATTAAAGACCAGATTTAAAATGAACTTGATAATAAATTTTTAATACCATGATCATCTCTAATAAAATGTTTTATTTAACTATCCTTCTTTATCATGCCACATAAGAAAATGTCAGGATGATTAAGGGAATTTGCGAAATTATGTGTTATAAGTGCAAAGCATTTGGAGTCAAAGGATAGGACTATGAAGATAATCACTGTAATCCATCACCTGGACCATTTTTATCTCTCAAAAGACTTATATGAATAAAAATGTGTATTATTAGCAAAATAAGTCTTACCCCTCACTGTCCCTCAGGAATTACCATCCAGTTTGACTACACAGGAAATAGATTGTCTATTTCACCCTATTTCATCTATTTTGTGAGACACACTCTCGGCTAAATCAAGATGTACCTTATAATCAGGAGAGTCTTACCAAGGCCACCAGCCAGGCTGCAACTGGGACCACAGCTACCATTGCCACATGTGAACATCAAATGCCAGCATCAAAAGTTGCAGAATGGGCGTCAGTGACTTGGAAGAAAGTCTTGCAGAAAGGAGAGCTTTCTTTCGTTTTTTTTTTTCCTTCTTTTTTAACTAGGAACCAAACGGTTGTGGAGAGGGAGTGCGCGAGGCATGTTTAGTAACATTCTATAAGCAGGAATCAAAAGTAGGTTAGCTCTGTGTAATGGCAAGGTCAGCCTAGGAGCCCAGCACCGAGGACTCTTAGTTTTCTTATGGATTATTTTAAGAAATGCTTCATCATCAAACTCCTGATATAGAGGATGATCCCATGGATAAACATAGACATCAAAGAGTCTAAGTCAAATGCTGAATGTGAAAAAGTTATAGGAGAACCCAAACCAATTTATTTCACTTAAATGTTCCATTTGCGGCATGTGCAAGTATGATATGTGATAAAATCATCTGTCTAATTAAATTCATAATAGCCCTTTCACTAGCTGTAAAAGGAACATTCTGATTGTGTCATGGTTTCACTTGCAGTTTTCCTTCTTAGTCCTTACTTACACTAACAGAGCCTCTTACAACAAGAACATCTTAGATTGCATGCAAGACAGCATTCAATTTGGAGACTCAGTACTTCTAATAAAAAGGATAATGAACTTGAATGAGCTGAAACGTTTGCTATCTTTACTGGGTTCCTAAATGCTGGCTGTGTATCATTTTAACTAAGAGCTGCTGGCTGTTCTTACTTTTCTTTTTCTTTTTTTTTCCCCCAAGACTTTTAATAGCATATGGCCCCTTTTAACTCCCCCAAATATTTGCTGGGTGGAGAAATACTAGTAGTTCAGTTTCGCATGTATGGTTTCCTTGAACTTGCCTGGCTGACTCTTGTTTCCTTTGCTAGGGGTGCAGGCTGCATCTTTATTGAAATGTTCCAGGGTGAACCTTTGTTTCCTGGGGTTTCCAGCATCCTCGAACAGCTGGAGAAGATCTGGGAGGTAAGAGAAGAATTTTCTCTGAGGAAGAAGAAATACCTACAATTCAAACTTTGAGCCAACTTTGCTTTAGAGACCATGAACTAGTCCATCTGCTTTGAGATTTTATGCCGTGTATTAAGGCCATGGAAACTGTGGGATTTGCCGCAGGTGTAGACACCTTGGCAATGGAGGTGCAGTCAGGAAACCGAGGTTGTCTTATAGTAGCCCCTGAATGCACCTGCTCACTGTTGTGATTTTCTCAGCCTCCCAGGGCAATTTCTGCCACTACTGCTCAAGCACATCCCTGCCTCACCACCCTCAGCTCTGACTCTATCGGATATTTGGCCCTTGGTCCTTGTCAACTGAAGACAAGACACGAAATTTCCGCAAAACTCTGATAAAGGCTTAACCGTGTTAGTGTGAGAGAAGTATTAATCATGCTCTTCCAAAAGCACGTTCCTAAGGTGTGAAGGTGCTTCTCTGTGTGGTTCCATTTCTTGACTCACTATCCCTACCTCATTTGGAGATTTTATTTATTTATTTATTTGACACAGAGAGAGTGAGAGAACAAACAGGAGGGGCAACAGGCAGAGGGAGAAGCAGGCTCCCTGCTGAGCTGGGAGCCTGATGCGGGACTCGATCTCGGGACCTTGGGATCATGACCTGAGCCGAAGGCAGAGGCTTTAACCCACTGAGCCCCCCAGGCACCCCTATCCCTACCTCTTTTGTACCATGATGTACTTCATTCTTCCTCTCTTGTAGTTTATATGCCACATGCTACAGTCATCTGTATATTTTTTTTTGTTATTTTTTTCATTGTGGTAAAATATACATAAAATTTGCCTTCTAACCAATTTTAAGACTATGATTCATTAAGTACCTTTACCTTGTTGTGCAACCATCACCACCAACCAGTTCCAAAACATTTTCATGACCTAAAGCAGAAGTTCTATACCCATGAAACACTGACTCCCCATCTTCCTTCCTTCCAGACTCTAGATAAGCTCTCATCAATTTTCTGTCTCCATGAATTTGCCTATCCCGAATATCTCATATTAGTGGAATCCTATAGGATTTGTCTTCTGTGTCTGGCTTATTTCACTTATATTTTAAAGGTTCATCCATGCTGTAGTGTATGTCAAAGTGTTTTAAATGAACCGTTGTTATCCTGGATCCTGCTCCCTTTCAACTTTGCTTGCTTCAAGTGGGCATCTGGAATGTTCTCGCTAAGAGCTTCTGATAAGGGGTTTCTTGAGAGATATGGCCAGAGTAGGGTTTTTGTGCATAGGTGAGGAAATTCAGCTTCTCTGGAACTGCTTTGTAGTTGTGATGCAGAGGGGCACCTTGGTGGCTCAGTCATTAAGCATCTGCCTTCAGCTCAAGTCATGATCCCAGAGTCCTGGGATCGAGCCCCGTGTTGGGCTCCCCCTCTGTGGAAAGCCTGTTTCTCCCTCTCCCACTCACCCTGCTTGTATTCCTTCTCTCGCTGTGTCTCTCTCTGTCAAATAAATAAATAAAATCTTTAAAAAAAATTTTTTTGAGGTGGAGACACAGTTTTGTTAACACAACCATAGTTCCAAGCTCTAAGGACAAAGTGAGAGCCAGTCACATTCAACAGTGTGTTATCTTTTACACTACTACAGTTCGAGCAGGGTAGAAACTTCAACATTACAGACAAATCCTGAATTACTGTTTCATTAAACATGGACTACACAGATGAAAATAGGAAAGCTATTTTGGGGTCCATGAAATTTGATGTAGGAATCGCCTTTTGGAAAGCAATGGGTCCATTCTACTCTCCCAACCTTTAACCACAGCCGTTCTTTACACACCTCCCGAGACCTCACTCTTAGAAACGAAGACGTAATGACAAACCCTGAATCTTTATTTTACCATCTTTCTAAAATGCCTCTGTGTGTGTGTGTTTGTGTGTGTTTTCATCTGAATAACTCTCACCTCTTCCTGATCAAGTTTTTAGAAATCTGATCCTTGTAATAAGTGTTTTTAGCAAATAATCCCAGATGCGGTTCTAAAACCAGAATAAAATAAACTATGCAGACTTTAAATTCATTAATCAAAACGCCTTCAGTTTCCATTCCAACAAAGGCGGAAAACAGCCCTGTGCAGCCCACTATGATTTCAAACACAGCACTCACTCACTGCCTTTTAAAAGCCTTCAGGGAGGGAGTAGATCAACAATTTCTGGTTTTCAGTTTCCCAGACAGTGAAGTGGAGATTTGGTAATTTTCTCAAGTGAAAACGAATTCAATAGCTTTCAAATAGAAACTGAGCATCAAATTTCCAAATAAAGGATGTTGGATTTTTATTTAAATGTGGAAAATCTCCAGCTGAAAGTTTTCAGTATAATATTTTAAAATGTTTGGTACCCATTTTGTTGGCTTTAATTAAACATAATACAAAGTAACCAATAATTCTAGGAACTATCACATTAGAGAAAATATGGATGTGGTCGCTATTTATTTCCTTTGTTGCTTTTTCTTCATTACCTTTGCTTTTTTTTCATTGTGCTTTGCCAACCCCCAGGAGACATATGGGTGCATGTGAATCACTTGTTTCCGTGCACATCTGTGCAAATACAGAAGATGGTGGGTTCAAAAAGAAGAATCAGCTTCCCATCCTCTGGCCCTCTCCCACAAAAGAAGAATTAATCCAGTTGGTTTTTCCAAATGGATTCCAGGATTCTTAGTGTTCCCCTCAGGCTCAGTGTGGTTGATAGGAAAAGCCTATAATCCTCTCAGTAGGTTTTCAGTTTGTTTAAGGAATGGACCAAAGAAAGATTTTCCTGGGTGGCATGATTTTTTTATTGTATGAGAGAAAAATAACACTTCAGTGTCTTTTGTTTGAGAACGATCTTAGTAGGCACCACCAAATGTACCTCTCAATCAGTCCTAGTCAATAAGCTGGTAGACATTAAGATTCTGGATTCGTCATTGATTATTATTAGTCATGGTTGGGCAATTGACTTCCTGCCATAACAACTGGGCTGGCATCTATACCCAGCATTTTGCAATTGAATTTATTAGATTTTTTTTTCTATGAGAGATGCTTCTAGAAAGAGTTGAGATAGGCTTCTAAGAAGAGTTACTTTATATAATGGTGTAGTGAAAGCTACCAGTATTTCCCTAATATTTCACAGAAACAATGTTATTCTATCTCCCAGAGATAACTGACATTGGGCTTTTATGATTATAGGAAAAGAATGGCGAAATGATGCCTACAAAACAACTCGTGGAAAAAGCACCATCCCACATCTGAAGTGTTTTGACTTTGTACTCCTAAAGACTTTTATTTCATATTAATTGCAAACTGGAGCTTCCATTTGGTAATCCAAAGCATAAGTAAGCTCTTTTCCAAATGATGTTGTTATTTTTACAGTCCACCAGTTAAAAGCCAAATACCATATTCCAAGCTTCCAGGTCACCAAGAGAACAAGATGAGATAAATTTGGTAGGAAGGATTAGGGTTAGGTTTGGGATCATTTTTAGCTAATGTTCCACTCTGTAAGGGTCCATAATCTGAATCCTTTTTAATTTGAGCACATTGGGGAATAGCTGAATGTTCAGGCTGAGGCATAATTTGAGCTACATTCGTGTGTGTGTGTTTATTTCATGTAGTGTAAGGCAGAGGGACAGTCACTCCTGCCTCTTTAGATCCCCGACTCCCAAAATAGGACCCTGTTATATGGTGACCATGCCTTTGAGATTTAGTGCTGGGAGTGTGCCTTTAAGCAAGGCTATATGATCTGCCTCAGAATAACAAGTAAGTTAGTAGAGACACAGGCTCGGGACCTATATTTGGGTCCTTCTGAGAAACGGAACCAGTAGGATGTATAGAGATGCATAAGAAGAGATTTATTATGGGAATTGGTTCTGGTGATTATGGAGGCTGAAATCTGCTGTCTGTAAGACAGAGGACCAATGTAATTCAGTCTAAGGGGAGACTGGTGTAAGTCCCAGAGTCTGAAGGCCAGAGAACCAGCAGCTCCCATGTCGGAGGCAGGAGAAGATGGATGTCCCAACTCAAGGAGACAAGGAATTTGCCTTTCTTCCACATTTTTGTCCTATCTGGGCCCTCAATCAATTGGGTGATGTCCACCCACACTGGAGAGGGCATATTTCTCTACTCAGTCTACCAATTCAAATACTAATCTCTTCCAGAAACATCCCCATAGACACACCCCAAAATAATATTTTACTAGCTATCTGGGCATCCCTCTTCCCAGTCAAGTTGGCACATAAAGTTAACCATCACAGGACTTTAAGAATACACTGCAGTTTTGTCCATGAAGTTGTGAATGTAGGAAACACTGAAGTTTCTTTCATATGTGTTTCAGCTGGCATAATGTGATGTATAAAATGAATTCTTCCCTACTCCTCCCAATCTGTCCTTTATGTCTCCCTCCTCATCTTTCGTTGTCTTTCTTTGGCTTTTCATAGGTGTTGGGAGTCCCTACAGAGGATACCTGGCCTGGAGTTTCCAAACTACCTAACTACAATCCAGGTAATACCAATTTGAGCTTCTGAGTGTCTGAAAATTAACTATGTGGGAAGCATTTGCTATACAGACACGGTGCCCTTCTTTTATTGTTAAATCAACAGTAAAGATAGGTAGATGAATTTTTAGATTCATATATTCCCTGATAATCCTTTTATAAGAAGGACACTGAAATAGTAGTTAAGGTTAGATCAGTTCTCCAACTCTGTACAACATCAGTAGCAAGCTGCATAATAATTTGGAATAACTATCACTGTGGATTCTGCCTTGATTTCCAGATATCCATTGACTCAAAAGAACTCAAAAGATGGTCTCATTTTTTAGTCCCATGACTCTTACTGACTTTATTTGCTAGGTTATTGTACCTCATAAACTCTAAAAAGAAAGCTGATACAACAGAGGGGAAGTCAAGCCTCATTAGACCTAGGACAGGACAGGTAAGATGTATCTAGATTACTAAAGAGTTCATCCATTGTTTTGGACCTAACACTTGGTCATTCTCATCACCCATTTGATCCTCCAAGACTGGATCCTGGGAATGGACTTGGAAGTGTTAGAAGTGTTGGCCATGGGGAAAGTCTTTGAGGAATGGTCCCAAGGCCATGTCAGAGACACCAGATTACCCAGTAGTGACTTCAAGGATGTTGAGACAGAAGGAAAGAGATAAGCAGTGAGCTGTAGGATGAAAGACTATATGAGAGGCTGAGGAGGCAAGTGACAACCACACCAAAGATGGAGTCTTGCTGCAGGTTTAAAGGGGAGGTAGATGTGTACAGATAAGGACCAGATGGGGGTGATTATCACTCAAGTCAGATTTTCTAGCCTTTATATTCTCATACTGACCCATCACTAAATATGGACTTTCCCCAAACTGTTGTCATTACTAACTTTGGTATGAGATTATCCTAGAAGGGTCTCATGAGAGCAAGAAGTTATAGGGAGATTAAAAAGGCAGTTAAAGAGGATAACAAGAGATAAGAGGCCAAGGATTTTTTTTTTCTTCTTTCCTCCAGCATGAAATACTTTTGACCTTGGCTCAAAGAGCTATACATTGAACTCACCAGGATTATGAAAACCCTACAGCAAGCTTAGGTCTTTTCAGCTGCCTTATGAATGTTCATACACATTGCTAAAGGGCCTCAGGGTCATTTACAAATAGTTTACCATTTCTAACTATTTTGTTTGAGTGTAGCCCCTGAGAAAAATGCCACTCTGGCCACAAGGCTTGGAATAGTGTCTTTGCCTTTTGGTCTGAAGCAGAAAAAAGAATAGACTTCTTGTGGAGACCATGGTCTATCTGTAATAGTTCTATCTCCAGTTGCCATGGTCTCTAGGAGAACCTGGTTCTATTTTCCCACCCTGCCTGTCTATACCTCTCACTACCCACCCTCCTCTCCAGGTGAAAATGGATCCCCTCAGCTTCCTACCAAGATGCAAGCGGAAGTTTAGGGTCACAGATGGGTTGGAAAAAAGCAGTTTAGATGTTGTCAATACAAATCTGCCTTGGGGAGCATATGCTTTTCCTTCAGACTTCAAATGTTTAGGTTTCAGGTCGGTTCAGGCAAATAAGCAGTGATCCTTAACAGAGAATGCTTTGGTGAGAATAATAATGATAGAAACTTGTTCAAAACACTTCCCTGCCAGATTCTGTGCTAAATAAGATAACTGGGTCCCAATAAAACAGCGAGAAATATGTTGCATTTTTCATTTTGCTGTCATTTCAAAGTAATGTGCAATTTTTTATTTATGAAGAGAATTCTCCAGGCCCAACATCAATAGGGTTCATACTTTGCATTGTTTTTCTAGTAGGGATTCAATTTAATTCAAATAAGTCCAAAAAATTTGAACACCTACTATCTGCCAGGTGCTATATTACATGCTGGGTCTGTGCAGACAGATCTGGTACATTCTTGGAGCTCTGAGACTTGGGTTTGTACACATTCATCCACACTCTTTCACCAGCTCTCCTAACTGGGGGCAGACGGGTGATCATTCATGAGTCTCACTTTCATGGGTTTGGGGCCAAGCTAAGCATATGAAAGAAAGGGAGTTGTAACACTTCCTCAACTGCAATGAAGATGTCTAACTCTGTATCTGTAAATCTTAAAATTCCAGCATATCTTCAGCATGGGGTCAGTACCACTGATAAGTCCATCATAAGGACTATGTTTTAAAAAGGGCCATCATCTGTGTTCTGGGACCATCCCCTTATGTCATTCGCAAAGTCCCTTTGAGCGACTCCCCTCTCACCCCCATCACTGAGCTACCACTGCTGCTTCCACACACTTGAACTCCAGGGGTTAAGAGAAAAGAAGAGGGGATGGGAGCCAGAAAAATATCACAGAGGAGAACAGTTAATGCCATTCTAGATGAGACTTCCATTCCTTTCCTTTTCATTCAGTAGCAGTGAGAATTCCCAAACTTCGAATTGAGCCATATTCTAATTTGAGGGAGCCAAGAGCTCAAAACTTGGGAAAACCATCCAATGTCCATCTAGGCCTACTCTACCCTTTCCCAGACCTTGTCTGTACTATGTCTAGGAGGGGAACACAGTTTCTGTTGTACAGTCTTAAAAAAAAACACCTGGTGCTGACCCACCTGGACAGGTTCCTCTGGCCAATTACCCGTTTTCTTGGGGCACTGAGGAGCAGGGTTGTGGTTTTTCTGGCCATCAATTCAAATTCTTATGCCTGATTAAATCTGGGAAAGAGAAAAGAGGTATACAATTTTGGACACTAGACTATTTTCTTTCTTTCTTTCTTTCTTTCTTTCTTTCTTTCTTTCTTTCTTTCTTTCTTTCTTTCTTTTTCTTTCCTTCCTTCCTTCCCTCCTTCCTCCCTCCCCGCCCCCCATTTTAAGCAAGCTGCCTGAGAACTCTGTGTCCTCTACTTCAAAGGGCCAGTTGTCTTATTTTGATGTGGGCAGATTGAGAAGTAGGCTTTGAAAAGTAGGCTTTTTTTTGTTTAATCTTTTCTCCTGGGATAGCTTTCAGAGCAATATATCCAAGTGTCAGTAAGGGGGTTCTGACGAGCACAGATTCCCAGACTCTCAGCAGGATCATTCTCTAACAGAAATATAAAAGTGAAATATTAAAAACCCTGGAACGTGAACTCCATCTGCATGGTAGCCAGTGGCTTGCCTGCTCGCACCATGGGAAAAAAAGATCTTGAAAAAAGAGGGAGGAGAAAAAAAGTGCTTTGAGTACGAGGTTTACAGGTTTAGTAGAGCATAGTAACATCCCCTCAAAGAAGTGGGTGTTGTTCTGTGACCCCCCAAAATGCTCTGCCTTTGACTCAGCCGCCAGAACACTCACCCTCCTCCCCCCACAAAACACCCCCTTTTCACATGCTAACTGAGGCGCCTGTGATTGGCTGAACAATAAACTGGTCACACTTGCTAAAGGCCTGCCATCTTTCACACAATTAGCCAAGACACATTAATCAAACTGGAGGTGAAGAGGGGCTGCGCTGGCCTCCAGCCGGGGGAGGGGTGGCAGCGTGCGTTTTGGTGATCCTTAATAGGAGTCCATAGGAAGCAATAATAAACAGCAACATTGCTGGAGGGGATTCTACTACCAGAAAGTCTGGAAAGGATAAAGTCCCAGTTGATGCCCTATCAGGGATGTACTAGGTTTATGGCAGAGAGGTTCCCAGAAGCTTAAAGCAAACTGGATATTGGTCTTGGCTAAAATCTGCTCACAAAAGACACTAGTGTGAATTTAAAGGATGAACCCATATAGACATTCTACAAGTTCCCTGGCCCTCTTAGCTTTCTCTCCCCGCCACCGGCACCCCGCAAAATGCACTCAGGAGCCCCTCCCCTTTTGAGCCTCAAGCACTTTGAATCCCACTAAAACCAACAGGAATAACACATATATAAGAAATGGAGAACCATTTAGAATCCATTAAGAGAAAGTATTAATCCTCATGGGATTGGACCTAACCTAAGTATTTGGAGGACATAGACAACAGTTCATTTGGAAAGAAGAAAAAAAAATAAGCTAACCTTTGTACTTTCAGTGGTAGAATCTTCCTTCTTTTCTTTTCAAAATTCTCTTTAGATAGATTTTCCAATGGCAATATAGAGCTAATAAGATCATACCTTAGAGACTAGTTTGCTACAGAATCATGTAAGGCTTTTCGGAGAAACAGCTAAATATTTAGACGTTTCTCAGTGCAAGTAAACAGAGCCCTTATTCCTCTGGAGGTTGTCCAATCACCATCTCATTAGATGCAAAGATTCTGTGGATAAAGAACTTTTTTTTTTTTTTTTTTTGGTGCCCACATGATTGCAGCCCAGTTGTGGTTTTTAACGTGCCATTGATTGTTTCATCCAACTCCTTCCTTCTGCTCCAATGAAAGGGTCTGCCGTGGCTGTTTGCTTCCTTAAACACGGATTTTGAAAGCGCTCATGCTGTGTGAGCTCCAATCCTAGCATTAATGGACTGCTGGGTTCATTTCACTACACTCAAAAGCACAGAGTTTAAATCCCTCTCAATTCCATTTGAGGCACCAGAAGACTTTATCCTTCTCCACTAATGGTTCCAAGTTTACATCTAGATACTGGGGGTCAAGGACAGGAGAGGATTTAGAAATAACAGTGCATGACACTAGTCAATGCATTTGCCAAATTGGCAATTAGGTCCTGATGTGCGAGCAAAGCATTTCGTTCCTGTCTCTTTGATGCTCGTTCCCATTAAGAAGGGAACAGAGTCCGCAGAGGCCTTCAAACTTTTAAAGAAATATCTGCTGAAAATCATGCCTGATTTGTGACGTGAGCTCAGCGGCAGGGAAACATCCGGGATTATCCTGGTTCTTTCAGCCCCGGGAAAGAACCAGGCACATGGAAAGATTCTCCACTGGAGGAACTTAGTGGAAATCAAAAGGCGGAAAAGCAGCACTAAAAGCTCTGTGGGCACCCAGAATCAGATGTACTAGAAACCAGAGGCAAACGGCTCCTGGGGCCGCCCAGTCATCTTGAGGACGCCTGCTTTTTCAACCTCTGAC